TGCGGAGGTTAAGAGACGCAGCAAGTCTAAAAGTGATCAGATAATGATCAGACCATGACACCGGAAGGATGTTTTGATCTTCCACTCTAATCATTTCGTTGTCCGCCACGAAAACAAGGTCAAGAGTATGTCCAGCTTGATGAGTGGGACCAGATATTATCTGTGACAGTCCTATGGTCGTCATGGTGGCCATAAAGTCCTGAGCTGCGCCAGATAGGGTGGTCTCAGCGTGGATGTTAAAATCTCCCAGCACCACCAGGCGCTGGGAAACCAAGGCTGAATTGGAGACCACCTCCGCTAGCTCAGACAGGGAAGCTGCTGGGTCGCGGGGTGGGCGGTACACCAGCAGGAACCCCACACTGTCACGGCCCCCCACTTTCAAGTAGACACATTCGAACCCAGAAGCCTGCGGAACAGCGCATCTGATCACGGCGATGGATTGCCGAAAGACTACTGCGACCCCTCCTCCCCGCCCCCTTTGTCTGGCCTGCTGATGCACTCCAAAGCCTGGTGGGCACAGCTGAGAGAGATTTACTCCCCCCAGCTCGTCCAACCAGGTCTCGGTAATGCATGCCAGATCCGCCCTCTCATCCAGGATCAAGTCCTGGATGGCCGCAGTCTTACCACTAACGGATCTGGCATTAATCAGCAGGACCTTAAGACCGAGGGGACTGCCAAGGAGCCTACCACTACCTACCTTCTCCAGGGTCGCAAAAACTCTGTTGCGCTTCTCCCTGGGATATCGGTGACCCGCTATTCTCCTCCCCCACACGACTTGAATGGCACCCCCTTCCTCCGGACCCCTCCCCCCCCCTACATGGCCAGGATCTGTAACTAGTCAGCTCTCAGAGGAGGAAGTCGGGCTGGGGAATAATCTCCCTTGGGCGTTGGGTAGAGATGTTTCTGATGATGAGGTAGGTAATCACTATAATAATAATTTACTATTATTGCCATTATTATTGTTATTATCATTATCATTATTACCATCATCGTTATCATTATCAGAGGGATCTCTTTGTTCAAAACCCGGGTTGGTCCTTTGCTTTTCTTCTCGACTTCGTGAATTCGATCGGAAGCCGTTCCCTGATTGGCTGGTGCTGGGTGGGTGGAGCCAAACTGACCAATCAGCTGCTACAGATCGCACAGTGAAACTCCGAAATGTAGGGATTGCCTTGATTTCTTTCTCTTTCCAGCCTGAAAGAGTTTCTTCCGAAGGAATACATCAAGCAACGAGGAGCCGAGAAGAGGATCTTTCAGGTAATTCCATTTCCACCTTCATTGCAGCCGAATTGTGCGGCGTTTTGCTTTATTCCCGAGCAGCAAACCAAGTGTAAAGGCAGCAGACGCTCTCCTTCCGCTCCCTTTGGCAAATCGCATCTATTTCTCTCTTTTTATTTTTGCATTCGGTGCATTTTCTTCCGAGGGATGAGCACATTTTTAACGCTCTCCGGCTACGAAGCATCGCATTTGCAAAGGCCGCGGTTATGTAAGGGATGTATTTTTACCCCCTCCCCGCTCCTATTTTTTTTTTTTTTTGCTTATTTATTTCCATTTATTTTTGACGAAACCAGAGAGCCTTCTGCGCTTCGGCCTTTTGCAAATTTGCATTGGGAGATAATGGAGCAAAAGAGCCAGCAAAGAAGTTCCTATTTATTTATCGTGTCAGTATCAACCAGACCATTGTATTACATTTTTAACAAATTTTTAACAAACAGACAAAACAGAGTTTGCGAGATTGGTAGTTGATTAAATGTCCTTTGACCAGTATCTGTCCCCTTGGAGTGCCTCTGGTGTTGCCACAAGGAGGTCCTCCATCAGCCATTGGTTGAGGTTCTGCGTTTGAGCCTGCCACTTTTGGACTCTCGCTTCCTTTGTGAGATCCATCTCAAAGCTCCCTGCTTTATATAATAATCATAGAATCATAGAATCAAAGAGTTGGAAGAGACCTCATGGGCCATCCAGTCCAACCCCATTCTGCCAAGAAGCAGGAATATTGCATTCAAATCACCCCTGACAGATGGCCATCCAGCCTCTGTTTAAAAGCTTCCAAAGAAGGAGCCTCCACCACACTCTGGGGCAGAGAGTTCCACTGCTGAACGGCTCTCACAGTCAGGAAGTTCTTCCTAATATTCAGATGGAATGTAATAATAATAATAATAATAATAATAAACAATAATAACAACAATGACCAAGGGGTCATCCAGTCCAACCTCTTTCTGCAGGAGCTGTGTTCATAGACCTGTCAGCGGCTTATGATACTGTGAACCACCGCCTCTTCCTGAGAAAAATGTATAATATCACAAAGGACGACCACCTCACCCGCCTCATAGGAAACCTGCTACAAAACAGGAGCTTTTTTGTTGAGTTCCAGGGCCAGAGAAGCAGATGGCGGAAACAGGAGAACGGCCTGCCTCAGGGGAGCGTGCTGGCTCCATCCATGTTCAACATCTACACAAATGACCAGCCACTGCCAGAAGGGACAGAGAGCTTCATCTATGCTGATTATGATGCCATCACCGCTCAAACAGGGAGCTTTGAGATGGTTGAACTGAAGCTCTCCGAAGCTCTAGCTGCTCTTACTGCCTATTACAGGGGAAACCAGCTGATCCCCAACCCATCTAAAATACAGACATGTGCTTTTCATCTCAAGAACAGAGAAGCATCCTGAGCTCTGAGGATGATTACCTGGGAAGGAATCCCACTGGAGCATTGTAGTGCACCCAAATACCTGGGAGGAGTCACTCTGGACCGTGCTCTGACCTACAAGAAGCACTGCCTGAATATCAAGCAAAAAGTGGGTGCTAGAAACAATATCATACAAAAGCTGACTGGCACAACCTGGGGATCACAACCAGACACAGTGAAGACATCTGTCCTTGCGCTATGCTACTCTGCGGCTGAGTAGACATGCCCAGTGTGG